AATTGACTGTCAAAATGTGTGTCCTATCGGCAGGCAAGTTCAAATACTTTTAACACACCAGCCGTAAAGCCTACCTCTTAAAACCAACTAATTCCAACAGGACCTTAACTGGAGGATGTTTTGTGTTGATGGGAGAAACTGGAGCGCCTGTTGGAAACCCACCTCGTACCTTATGCAAGTGTGTTTGAAGATGGGGCTAATTTTCCCTTCTCTTTCCTTCATTACAAGAACAGACATTATCAGAGCTCAGTCTGTCCTAAATAAAATAGCGGCACCAGTTACAACGCACTAAAAAAGACCCATCATCAAGTCTCATTATTTACAAAAATACAGAGAGACAATTTGACAGGGGTGGATCTGCAGTTCGCATATTGAAATAAACACACCAATCAGACTGAAAAAGGTAATTTCAGGTCATTTTTAGCTTCATTTGGCACTGGGCGAATAACAGGTAGAACTTTCTCTCTGCTGGCTTGTTTTCATATTCTGTTTCCTGGGAGACTTCTCAAAGTGGGAGAAAGTTTTTTTTTGGCTCGGTTCATTGCCAAATGAAAACCAGGTATTGGAGATAGTGGGATGTGTGGCTTGATACCAGAAAGTCAAGGAGGAGTACTGCACCAAGTTATAATTTGATCAAACTACAATAATATTAAACTGGAGTGTTTTGTAAAAAAAAATTACAATAAAATACATTCATGAAGGTTTATGACATTGGTATTCATTGTATAAGGCAGTCATAATAAACATTCTACTACTCAATCAACAAATACTCTGATGTTGTTAAATTTATCTGGGTCAAATTTGTCATTAAATCACACTGAAATGTTGTGGTCCAAAAAAACAAAAAAAAACAATTCAATACATATAAGGAAGCATCTCTAAAAGATAATATCCATCCATTTTCTTCACCTTAACCCATGTCTGGGTCGGGGGGGGCAGTCAGAGCTGCACCCAGTACACAGAGGACCAGCCCCATATTAAAGTGATATCTAGAAGATATCACTTTAATAGATAATTATTATTAGTTGCAGCCCTAAAACAAAAACATCACTTGGAGAATACCACCATTTGGAAAATACTGAATTATTTTGTTTGAAAAGAACCGATATATTTAAAGGGACATTCCGCTTGTATGTGTCCCCAGGTTTAACATTGTCAAGTCATAAGACATTTTAAAGTTAAATGTCGTTTGTTATTCTTATTTTTTCAAATATACAATGGACATATGTACAGAATGTTTACAAAAACAAGTGGTCACATGTAATAATCAGAGTTTGTAGTTTCTATCTGAACCCCAGCAGGTGGATTGCATCAGTAATCGGTAACATGTGTTACAGGCACAAAGATTTTGGCAACAAAAGTTGGATTGTAATTGCGAATATTACATACAATGCCATTAAATTGACCTTTGCCGATGTCATATTAATGTTTTTGTATAAGAATATTTTATCTAGACTTTGCACTATACAGTACACACAGGTTATTCTTCTACCGCAGAATAACCTTTCCCTGGCAATTAAAAAAGTTGCACCTATGGAGTGAGAATACTTGGGTCAGATACATTTCTTCTAATTCAAGCAGAAATGTTTGTTTGCAGCAGGATCGATGCATGATCCACGTTTTCCAGCTCTGTGTGTGTGTGTGTGTGTGTGTGTGTGTCCAGCTTCAGGTCAGTGTGTTAAGGCGGCTATTGCTTCCGCTGTTCGACATGTATCCTCTGCTCCAAGAAACAAAAAGATCAAAGCATTTCCAAATTCCTTTCAACTATGAGAAACGTGCCTGCAACAGCGTGGTCTGTTTTCATAAGTCACCGAGGATTTTACATTTGTATGTCCCAAAAATAAACAACTCCATCTCATTTGTCTCACTGAAAAGCTCTTTATTACTGAGAGGATGCACCTAAAAACAAGTCGTAATGTCAAAAGGAGGTTCACAGTTTTCTTTACATACAAGGTAAAGTGACAGAAAATCCATCTGTGCATGTTGTGCATGGAAACATACAGCTGTTATTTACAGAAGAGCCCCAGTGATCCCTAGTTCAGCTGTATTTACAAAGAACTGTTGGTTATAATCTCATCCAAAAGAGATTTTACACAATTTTACAACCAAAGACAGAAATGATGCAAGCAATTCACCGCAGTCTTGAAAACATTTGATTTCCATAATAATTTTGTGACCTGATGCAAAACCGCGTCCTCTAAAGAAGGGACACGTGTCAAAAAAGGACAAATGCAGTTTTGAATATAGAAAATGTGATCTTGAATAACAATAAAATAAAATGACTACAACATTCCATTCACTTTTCTTGTGCTCTAGCCGTTACAGGGTTGCGGGGGCATCAGTTTGAGCTGACTTCTTCCTGCTCATCAGGGGAATCACAGTCCCTCCATGTGTCCTCGAGTCTCCTCCTGCTGGGACATGCTCCTGCCCAGGGAGGCGTCCAGGAGGCTCCCAAAACAGATGCCCGAGCCACCTCAACAGACTGCTCTCGACGTGGTGAAGCAGCAGCTCTACTCTGAGCTCCTCTCGTGAGACTCAGCTCCTGACTCCGGACAGATTCGCCTGTCAATCTCAAGCTCCATCCTTCCCTCCCTCATGAACAAGACCTCGAGATATTTAAACTCACTTGAGGAAAGACCCCCCCCCACCTGGAGAGGTCATGGCACGTTGTCCTGACTTTGTCCAGCTACAACATATCAAACTAGTATAAAAATCCTTTTCAGAAAATGTTCTGAATTAAAAATGAATTTAACTTAGTTTAATAATTATAGTTTTGACTTACTCATATCTGCTGAGAGACAAGCTGACCCAACGTAAGGTTTCAGGGTTTTTGAGCAGTAAAACAATATGTAATTACAAGACCACAGACTTGTTTCAGCACAAATTTGAAGACTTTCAGTATCAGAAAGCTTATAAAACTAATAATTTGTCACTACTATCCATTATTAATGTATTTGCACAAGATTAAAAAAGCAAAACAAAACTGAAATAAGAGTTAAAATGTATGCAAAACAGAATAATAGTAATAGACTTTGGATGTTGAAGTCTCTTTTTGGTCCAAATATTGAGATTGAGATGGCTTTTATCTGTCGGTCAACGTTCTTGAGCTGCTAAACGTTCTTATCAATGTATTAAAGCCATGTATGAAGAGTCACTAAAAGTACTTCAGACTAATACCAAGAATATGTCGTTGTATATCTGGGATTAACTGAAACATATTAGAATTTGTAAAAAGCTCCCCAAGAAATCTTTGCAAATGTTTTTTTTTCTTTTGATAATCGGCAAAAGCATCGGTAATATAATCCAAAAGTCTAATACATTAAGGCCACGTCACTTTGCACAATGAAAGCCAACATTCAAATATGAGAGAAAGTCTGCAGAGTAACAAAAAGAGAGAAAACTATATACAAAATGGCATCAAAAATACTGTAAATGTTTGTCAAGTATTCAAAGAAACGATAGTAAAATGTTTCACAGCAGCTTTGGACACTTCTCTCCCACTTTTTCTGATTGTATATATTTGCATTAGCACAAATCTTCACTCAAGCTACTGACACCGAACGCTACAAATGTGAAAAGTCTGTTCGGTTTTCAAATAGAGAAACTTTCTGTGGTGATAATCGGCACAATTTACAAAATTTTCAACAAAGCGTGATCCAAATTATGAGCATCACTGATTGCAATTAACTAGGACTGCACGATGCATGAAAGCTGAATATTTTCTTTCTGAAAAACTGGCAATAAAATACAATTTCATTCTCAAAGTAACATTTTTGACAAACTTGAAATGGCAAAAAAACACGAAGCACCAAATATTCTTTACAGTTGGTATGCAACAAAATTCTTACAGTAATTTGTCCAAAAACATTAGTTTAGCCCTGGTTTTGACTCCTGCGCCTCCGAGGACAAGTCCTGGTTTACACCTAAATATAGTTTTGACCTGGTTCAGATCTTGATGAACCATGACCAACTCCTAAATTATTCACCAGCCTTATCTTCTCTCGCATATTTAACTAAGAAATAGTGAGACACAGAAGTCGAGGAGAGTTGAAATATGAATCCACTTAAAAAGAGAGACTTTGATAAATTATGGAAAAATAAGTCTGATAAAACGATGTTAAATGGTACTGTATGTAAAGTATCTACACCAGGACACAACCTGGCTTTTTCTTTGAACTCTGTAAATGGTTTTAGTAGTCCTCTTTTTCTCCTGAAGATTCAAAGCTCCACCTTTGGCGCTTTTCACATCATATTTCAGGAAAAAAGTCGGGTTGAATTAAATGTTAAATACATTATGTAATAAATTATTTTTCATTTTTCATTTATTTACAACAGGGGTCTCCAACCAGTAGCTTGCCACACCTTTCAAGTGTAATATGTCTACAACCATTAAAAATAATTAACTTTGATAGCAAATAAAAAAGATTAAAGATAGATTTTTAAAACTCAAACTGTAACCAATCAAAGGCAAGTCGCCTTTATACTGTATTGACTAAGTTCTGTGTGAGAAAAAACATTGGAGACCCTTGATTTAATGTGATTTCCATGATATATGTGAGAAAACTTGTAAAATATATTTTACAATAAAGTAATCAATTCTTGGCATTGACCCTTTCCTTCCGTGCAAAACTCTTCCACAGCGATCAGGAGCCACCCCCAGGTCTGATCCTAGGTTGATCCCTCACCAATATTTCCCATTGTTTATGTCAGGGGTGGATGAAGCTGAAGGAGATCCACCCGGACACAAGGAGAACATGCAAACTCATCACAGTCCAGCCAGGAGTTGTACTTTTTGCTGTGCTGCCAAGTACTCTAGAAACACATACTGTATATCTCCCTGTGTGACACTTTTGGGAACAAGTAAATAATCTTACTCTTTATCACAATAGTCAGAGTCTTGTGCAGCGCTGGTTCATTCCAATCATGTACTGTGTGTATAAACCTGTGCTGCCTGCTCTTTACCCACAGTGCATTGCGGTGTATAGGGGGGTGGGGGGTGTTCATTGGCTCCAGGGACATCCACATGGGTCTCCACAGCTCTGCTTCTGGTCCCAGAGCTGCTGCAGCTCCTGGGCCGAGTGCTGAGGGGACGAGAGCATGTCCAGGTAACACTCCTTCTCACAGAGCCAGCCCGAGTCCTGGAAAACCACCACGAAACACAGGATTAAAGGAGGAAAGTGACTGTGTGTCGTCTGGGTTGGTGTTCACCGGGCTAAAATGTACTCAATTGTAGATAAAAACTACATCCTGCACTTACAACATTTTTCAAATATGTATCCAGTGACGATTAGTAAAGGAAAACCAACGAACATGACATAAATCTGTTGGCTGCACATATTGATTTGTCACATCTTCAAATGACTTGCATGATTTATTTAGACCTACTGATTCTAGTGGGGCTGACTACTTAAAGCTGGTGTACCTAACTTCATGTTTGATAAATAATACCTTTTGTTTGACCCAATAGAGAGTCTTGTATAAGTACATTGGGAACAGCCAAGTGAGGGTGGTCCTCTCTTTTTGACTCTTTCATCTGAAAAAGTTGATCCAAAAGATGTGACAGAGGCGTAAAATAAATGCATGCGAAAACTAGTGATCGAGAGCAAGGGACAAGTTAGATTTTATTATGTATATATATATTTTTTTGCTTTCTCTTCTTTTCATTACAGTAAACAAAAAACATATGCCCAGGTGCCTTTTGGGTTGGCTACTTTATCCCTATACCGATTGGACAAAATAAAATCAAGAAAGATATTGAGGCCAAACGCAATGAAAGAAAGTATTAAATCATTGACTGGCCTTGACGTATTTGTCTGATGGTGATTTCTGTCAAACTTCCCTCCACTGGGATTACAGGAGAACAGAACTAGCTAGAAACAAACTTATTTATGCTAATGAAAGGAGACAATTCAGTCTTTCAGAATCTACATTTCACACTACAAGTCATAGCACACAATATTCTGTGGGTCTTGAAAATGGCTGGCAGTCAATGAGTTAAAGAACAATCTTTAAATGGTATACAAGAGGATTTTCTACTTCCCGGTAGATCATCAAGACAAATGGTCCTCCTAATTATCCCTCAGAGACCAGAAAGATTTTTCAAAAAGTGGAGAGGGCAGTTCTTTCCTAAAACTTGGGGAAATCCTCCTACTGTATATACATTTAATATAAGCACAAACCACACTTTAATTCAATGATAAAAACACAATACACTGACAGCTTTTTTCTCACATTGTCTTTGCCATACAGTATGAAGCATATGCGTCTGAAGCATATTCCCTAAGCAGCTTTGATTAAGAGACTGCGACGGGAGCAGGGGATGAAGAGGAGCGGGTCAAAAGGAACAGAGGATGAAGGCGAATGCTGTTTCATGTATTTTCTAGAAGTGCATGAATCAATTTCCTTTCGGGACAATAATAAAGTTGAAGTTGAGCTCATTATTTCCCATGACGTTGCTGCCTGTCGAGGAGAGGAGTCCTGTGCTGTATAATAAATGCCAGAACAGAGAGGATTGATGGAGAGACTGCAAACACATTTTGACCCCTTCTGTCTGGGGGTTTCACAATGGTAAATACAACAATCGCATTAGATGGGAGCCAATTTAGAGCCAGTTCCAGTAAAAAACAGTCCCCGTATTTATGTATTGATACCATTACTACCACCACTCAAACAACAAAAAAGACTCTTTCCATCACATCCAAACTTAAAACTCTCTGCCACCTAATGTGCACATTTATATATTATTTTATTCTATTTCATGATAGAGACGCTCACCATATTTACAGTTTAAGAGGAAACAAAAACTGCCTAAAATTACTAATTTAAAATCAATGTGTATTTCAGGGCAAGCAGCTAGTATTTGGAACAACTTGAAAGATGATTGTTGGAATCAGTGGGGCCGGGTTCCGGTTGCAAAAGGTTCACGAGCACGTGCGCCGACATGCTTGCAATACCACTCTGGGTGGACCCGGAAACAGAATTATCCAATGTTTTTGTATGGCGTATTCTTTCCTCTAGAAAACTGCTTTAAAGGATGGTCTAAAAGCTCTTGGCTCAACGCTACGTTCCAGATGTGTGTCATGTGTGTGTCGGAGGGGAGTATTTTTTTTTTTTGGACCAGTCTAGTTTAGCCTTTGTGGACTGTAGAATGCACTCGTTAAATGAATGGGGCTCATGCCGGCTAACGTATGCGCAAATGCGTTTTTTCACATTTTCCTGCCCTGCGGCCATTTTGAAAAAGTTTACAGAACGCAAAAGTGGAAACCAAGTTTCAGTGACAATGTCCGGTAATTTTTACAGTCTATGGTTGGAATGCATTTTACAGATGTCCTGCCTCAGTCTTGTCATGCGTGTTTTGGGTTGTGTTGAATGATTGATGGGTTGGAGCCAAATAAGTCTCTGCTTCATTCTCTTTTCAAGCAGATTTTATTTTTATTTTGTATAGGTTTGTGAAAAAAAACCTATGTACCACTAGTACTACTCCTACGTACTAATGGAATATTAATATGTATTTTGATCTGAGAGACCAGCCATCTTATCCCTGCTAATTTAGAAGAGATACATTGGAACTTGAACACGTTGAACCAAAATCTAAGTATTACTGAATGCAATTCACAACCTCATTATCAATGTATTGCTCAGAAATTCAACAGAGAAATTCATTGTGCGTTATGTTAGTTTTGTGGAAAAGAATATAAAAAACAAGACTACCCCCAAAGACTACCCACAGACAAGGGAAGAACATGCAAACTCGGAAAAGGCCCTGTCTGGCGGAGGAATCAAAGCTGAGAAGCGTGAACGCTAACCACTCTGACACTGAGCCACACTGATGCCAGAGAAAAGTTAAACTTTGGATCAAAGTTTTCTTTTCCTCTTGGATCAAGAGGAAAAGAGGAATATACTGCACATCCAGGAACCAGCAAAAGTAATTTTGTCAAAGTTTGTAAAGGATAAAGGTCCAATAAAATTATACTTTTGTGCATGTAGAAACCATTAAAACTGGTCTTTTCAATCTAAAGTTGCATATTTCTCTGAAGAGTTGGGACTATGTTGGCCTCACTTAAAGAGAAAGTTACATTTGATTAATACCAGCAACATCTAGTTAGTTTCTGTAAAGTACAAATCTGTCCAAAGCTTGTGTCTGCATGGCTGGAGTAGAAAATTACTTTTAAACCTTGGAGAGCGCTAAACGTGAAAACGAATTGATTCAAATCACCTATGTGTAATTACTCTCAGCTAAACCTTGTGATTAAATAATGGGCCTGTTCTGCCTCCTGTTGAGAACAACACGAGAACATGTGGCGACGTGAAGACCAAAGAGGCTCAATTAGGGATTTCATATAGATAATTGTACAACTGTTTAGTATAATTGTTCACAAAAACGCAAGTAACAAATGGATACAATTATATCGACCACAATTATTCTGAATGATTGGAAGTAATCAGCTCCTGAAATAGTCATTTACCCTTTATTATTGTTAAGTGTGATCTGGACAGTATCATTAGTTAGTTAAACTAGACAAAACCACGTACTTCTGCCTTCTACGTATACAATGAGAACCACTCTTACATTTAGTACATTTCAGTGAGTGTTGAATGGGTTTGGAAGTTTATGGAACTGTTCTGTTCCTCCACCTTTTCAAAACTTTACGTTAATCTGTGTTTTTTTTGTATTGTGTTTTACAGGTTTTGAACATAGGCATCCACTCAGGCTGCAGACGTTTCTTTAAACTGGTTCTATAACTTAGGTACTTTTAGGTATATGCATATAACGTGCTATAATACTAGGCCCGCGCTCATAACACATGTTGATGGACGTTAAGAGAACAGCTTGGTATGGACTGACATAAGTGAAGTGATGACTACAAAGAGAAAGCAGAAATCTTTTTACCTGATATTTCTGCGGCCCGACAGCTGCCATCCAGATGCCCATGCTCACATCCTCTCCCTAAAAACACCACACTTAGTAAAAGCACCTTCTCAAACCCATTCTCTTCCAGAGCCAATGACGGGATAAACTACACAAAAACATGGTTAACGTAAACATATTTAAGATGTTAAAACATTGCAAATATGTTCCCAGTTTGGATACTTTCAGCGATTTGATAATTGTTCTTGTATCCATGTAATATCGACCATGAGCAACAATGAAACCAAACTTCTCTTTCTGTACAGAAACTATGTATTTTTTCAGATCAAACATCGAAACATACTTTTATGTAGTTGAGTGCATCATTTGTGGCTAAAAAAGTGTTGACACACCAAGTGTAAAGTGTCAATCTAGAGAACTGATGTTTAATTCAACAGAAATGTCAAGAGCTTCTACAATGTTTCACCAATATAGTTTTAACGTTCTGAGCATCCATTCTGGAATACAGAGTTAATACATTTATTTGCAAAATCCTCCTCACAAACTGCAGTGCAATGGTTTCAAAATCATAACTCATAATTAAAACAGTTGCATGTTGAGGATGTTTGCATTCAGCATTCGGCCGGTGCCAAAAATCGAATGAATTGATTGTTTTGGAGAAGCAATTATTTCAGGAACTAGCAGAATATTTCTTCATCTGATTTTCACAGTGTTATCCCAATCATGCAAACATGCTTATGTCCAGTAAACACCCAATTCCAATAAGAAAAAATATTCATTTAATCAAAAATCAAGATCAATATGAGGGAATAAAAAAATCTTGATGAATTATTTCCAAAGATTCCCCAGTCCTATTTCCGCAGTACATCTTTTGAACCATTTGTATCGTGCTGTTTGGATCAGTGAACGCCATGTGTCACACACTTTCCAACAGCTGTTTCGTTACTTAAATACCTGATAGGCCTTGAGTTTCTCTGCGTTACTGGCCAACCACTGCACCAGGTCCCGGGAGACCACGTATCCGGAGCCACAGGCGAAAGCTGGATACGCTGGGCTGGGATACTCCAGCTCCTGCCACTTCCCGATGCGGTCCACTGCCCAGCTCTGCCTGAAACTGGGGCAGACGCGGCGAGTTAGCATCACATCTGCCCATTCACCTGACCTTTGTGAAATATGCATGTCGACTGTCTAGCCTTTCCCCCTAAAGTTCACATGACTTTGCAAATTCTAATTCAAAAATATGCAGCAAGGGAATGACTGTTCACTAATTTATACTTCAGTTATAATCTTTGACACTCAAAGATAATAATTATATTTGTAACAATTAAAAATGCACCACTAATAAAAAAAAAATAAAAAATAAAAAGACTTTGTGGTTTTTAAAATACAGTGTCCATTTCCACTCGCCCCTATTGCACAAATGCCACCACAGATTAGAGAAAGGAAGGGAAAAAAGGGGAAATGCTAGCCTGGCCTTATCATCCGTACACTCCGGTCAATAATCATGTAATTTGTGCGATGGTGTGGTACGACCAGGCAAGGGAAATGCTACATCAGGCCAAATCCTTGGTCTGTTCTCCTGCTATATTTTGTTAAAGTAAATAAAAAAGGAAAAATAGACTTAGAAAAGAGTGTGTACATGGGCTTGGTGAAAACAAATGAAGTCAAAAGAGTGAACAAGACAGAACCCTAGATTAGGAGATCTCAATCAGAGTTTCAATCAAATTACTGCAGTCACTTTATCTGACAAGATTACAGGCCAAAAGATCTCGAGTGCACAAACTTGCGACTATTGAAATACTACAGAAATTAACTGTTATCTCAGTGACAATAAAAATATTAGTGAGAGACAAAGAAGGGAAACTTCCGTGGCTCCGCTTTGTGCTTGAGTCCATCGATCTGTCAGCACCTCTTTATATCCAATGTTCATTACAAGTTAACAGAACAGACTGGATCAGAAAAGTTATGCAGTGCACCTTTAAATTCAGTTTGTTCTAGGGCTGTAACATGTTCATTTATTAAAGTTTCAACTTATTTAGTAATCCACTCATCGTTATAAAATCTTTCTTATACATAGACATGCCGATAGGAGGTTTAGTTTTCTATAAAATATGTTCCCCAGATGCATAACATGAGTTCTGTTTTATTTATTTATGTTGTGGACATGACAATGCACAAGCTACAACGTTTTTGTCAAATCATGTAAAATAAAATCCCATATTCATAGACTTTTTGGGACATCAACAAATCGATTATCAATATTATTGTTAATTACAGCACTTTATTCAAATTAATCAGAATAAATTAGGGGGATTGTGGCCCCTACCACCTCTGGCTTGTTCACTGAAGTTCTAACACCAATTTAGGAATCATCCAATGCAAAATTACTGCCAGCTGTATCATTTATGCCACTGCAAGTAATAATATGCCCTCAAGCCAGACTAATTATTCAGTGAAATCCTACTCACTTTCCCCACCAGAAATGGCTCCGTTTGAGGTCTTTCTGGTGGATCTTTGTCAAGACCGCGTCCACATCGATGTAACAGTCGTCGTCGGTCTTCAGCAGCAAGTTGAAGTCGGTGTTCCCCACAGCCCTGCAGACACGCGGGGGTTTGTGACCTTAATTAAAAGTCCAAATGTATATTCTTCCACAAATCTCACACTGGAGTCGCATTCAAATACAGACGCTGGAAAAGGGTATGAGGCGGCCACAATAAATGATACACTGCGGCGGTTCAAGAGCCAAACCGTCCAAATCTGTAGAGGATCGAGTGCCATTTACTCGCGAACCAAAAGGTAATAAATGAATGGAATAAGTTGGGGGTTTTAATAACATTTCTATACATTAGGATTGTGCCACAGTAGGGCATTAACCGCCACAAATGTCACCATATGCCTTGTGATTATAATCCCTATTCATACATAATATTTCTGTTGTATTCAATGGTTGTAACAGATATGCCTTTCAAAAACATTAAAACTAAATCAAAATTAAAAAGTGTCTAAGGTTACAATTCGCAGTTGAATATGTTTTAGATTTTATATTGAAAATCATAAAATCATAAAATATTGAGATTTCTGATTAAACTACACTACAGCTGCTGCAGCTTCAAACTCATTTCTTTCCCATTGATTGGTTTTGCTTTGAAGTACAACATTTCCCGCTTCCCGATCATTGACCTGACCCTCGGCGCTCCTGTGTTGTTCCTGTGGCTTTGAGCCAGAGCTGCAGTTTTTCGGGTGATTGTGCGGAAGATTGTAACAGAGGTTTTTCACAGTGAACGACACACTTTCATTTCAAACGCTGATTTCCTCAGAGGCTCCACCAATTCAGGCTCAAAGAATAGGACTCATTAGCACCAGGGCTGCACAAAACTTCTCACATGTATCGTTACAATGTTATTCACAAACGGATTATTCAGAATCTAAAGTTTTAATAAAAGGGGAAATACAAGCAACTCAAATAACTTTAAACTGAAAAATAACGCAAAAGTCTTATTTTTATAGTTATGTATATATTTATGACTAGACTTAATTAAAATGTGTGTTTATACTGTGTTTATTAAACCAAACATTGTGAAAGGTGAATAAAGAGAGGAGAGGCACAGGCTGCTTGTTTCCTGGTTCACTTCTTTTTCAAAAACAGTGAGTTTTGGCAAAAGAACAAGTCCTCCTCTTCAGCCATGACTGGTGTCTTTTGATTATATCGTTGAAAATGGAGATCTGTTTGAGAGCAATGGCGTCTCTAAGAAAATAAATGGCTTAAACATGCGGGAATAGCTAGAGTGTGTGAATCACAAAACAAACAAAAACTTGGTCAAAAGCTGTGAAAAACCAATTCACAATGTTGCGTCCGCGTTAATATTAAGCTAACACACCGTGAATAGAATTGTTCAGTGACATTTGACGAGCACACTCCTCACCATTTGTAGAACTGCAGTAGTTTGGTGGGCACGTTGCGGTAAGTGTCCACCACGTCCACAAACACCATGTCCCCATGTGTTCGGCTCTCCTGCTCCAGGGACATGTCCTCGCTCTGCAGCCCCGCCACGTGCTGCTCCATCCGGGAGGGACGGGCTCTGAGCAGCGCGGCCAGAGCCTCCCCATCTGGACAGGAGAAGGACCAGAGAGAGAGAGAGGGAGAGAAAGAGAGAGGGGGAAATGGAAGAACACATAGTATTATAATACATTTATTGTCTTGTAAGTGATCGATAATTGCATACATGTTGTTGTGTTGTGTTATTCATTCACTCCACGCACACAATGATTGATACACGACTGATATTGATAAAGCTTAGAATCAACATAATTTTAGGTTTACTACAACGTGACAAGATTTTTTTCTGAATTGGTAATGATTCATTGTTTATAATTCGAATTGGAAATCATGGTCCACAGAAACTCCAAGAAGCAGACGCTCAAAAATGTCAATATTTTGTCCACAGCAGAGAGAAATATTCATAATTTCCTTCCGTGAATTTGTGATTTCATGAAGAATCAATGGCTGAATGTCTTACATGAGGACACAAGTCATCTTGAAGCAGTAAGGGATTTGAAAACATTATGGTTAAACTATTCCTCAATTACAAGACAGTTGCGTGAAGTCTGTGTTCTGCCCTAGGAGCAGTATGCAGTAGTTAATGGAGAATAATTTTTCACGTCTGAAGACATTTCCAGACATGAAATTAGTTGTAGGAAAATGATAGTTAAAAGTAAATAGTGATTATGTCATATTTAGACAGCACTGGCTCCTGTTCTATTTTACACCATTAATCATTTTGCTGATAATGCACTTGCGTTTGTCCAAATGAATACGCAACAAGCAATTCAATTAATCTGGGAGGCAAATACAAAATAACAAGCGCTGTTGCAAAGAATGGGCCGTTAGTTTGTACTCACTGATGGAAGAATTTAATTTCTTTGTTTCTCAACGACTAAAAATCCATTTCGCAAAAGAGCTGTGAATAAAGTAGGGGAGATTACAATAAACCGGGCGTCTGACAGGTGGAAGAAATATGCCTCATTTCGCCTCTATGCCACCAACAAACAAAAAACAAGGCAATCTCTTAAAACTGCCAGCGTGAACAATGTTTTTGAACTTGATCATATGGGAATGTCTTCAAACATTTGGCTAAAAGACTATTATAGTGGCCATAAATATCTGGTGTTGTATAAACAAACCGTAAATATTGAAAGTGAAGCCTCCAGCCAAACCGGGGAAGCCAGGAGCACTTCTGTGAGGCAATATGCCCTCTGCTATCTGCAAGACACACACAGTCTGTCCTTTAACGAGCCAACGCCGCATTATTTGACTTTCCGAATTAATTATAACGGGACTTACAGAGGAGAACATGAGAACTCCCCCTCCATCATTGAGCTGCACAGATGAAGAGTTGACTGAAGTTAATCCAGCAGAGCTCTCCCAAACTAATGTGCCTTCAAAACCCTGAGAAAAGAGGGAAAAACATCATAAAAAACAAAGAAACCTTTACGTTCTGATGCCCATTGCCCAGTATTACAAACTACAGGCAAAACCAGCATTAGAGTGAGTCTAATATCAAAATTTCTAACTTCATGAAAAGGTAAGGTATAAACAATTAAAATAACAAGAACAAAACTGTTTTGAAAGTCAGTTTATTTTGGTCTCAAAAGAAAAATATCTGACAAAAGCATTGTGACTGAAATATCACAGATAAATTAATTAATAGCGACCGATCGATGTGGAATTTCTGTTCTGCCACTCAGATTTATCTGCAGACTAGCATTAGTATGATCTGTTGCAGACTATTTACAGTCATCAATGAAATATGTGCAAACTCTGTAATTGAGCTGTAAAATTGGCAGACATTGAGTTTGGCCAAGTTTGGCCATAGTTGAAGTCAAATGTGTGAACAATGTCAACAGTTCATTTCTAAATACTCATACTCCAATAAGTTTCTATATGAGACTTTAAATCCCGGTTGACAACTTATGTTTTTTAAAAACTTAATTTAGACAAAATGAGGATGAATTTATTGTTTTTCAGTCATTTGGACATATTATAAATCACCACAGGTCAACTAAAAGTCCATGATTATTCCATTCCCAGGAGTAGACAGAACCCAACCTAAAAGACTGTCGTCTAATTCCAGAATTAAGTCATTTTTAACACAATATAAAAGGTCATTTATTTCCTAATAGTCATAGTATTTCTGATAAAGGTCAAGATCATACTGAAAGAACAGGATTTCTTCCACACCATTGATCTATTGAACTCAAAAATAGTCTGTGAAAGCCAAGTTTAACTGTGCCACACATTTACCAACATATTTCCCCTCAACATTTTCCACGGTTTGAAAGTGCAGCCACACTGAAATGTGAACGCCTTCCAACACTTGAAGGTCAAAGGAGAGAGGAATGTACACTAAATGACTAATGGCAGCATCCTTTGACACACCATTGAAACAGTACTTATATTTACTTTTCCCTGGCCCCGTTCTAATGTTATGGCTGAAGTTATGGCTGTTGTGTTCAGTTGAAGTGCAGTGTGGGAGTCTGACCTTAGGCAAAATGAACTGCTCCACTGGTTTGTACCACACTCCGTTCAGCAGGGTCCCAGTGCTGACAGAGCTGAAACGTGCAGTGACCACGGCCTCCTGCAACAGACCCCACTGTTACCCCAAAGGATCGCATCAACCGGACCTTATTTTCAAAGATTTTCCAACTTTCCAACACAGCAAACAAGTTTTTTCTGCAAAAGGTGTGGACCTGTCCTCAAAAAAAAAAAAATCAATGAATCGTGTTTCTCTCTGAGGCTGGTTTTGCTTTGCCTGGTCTATTCTACAGTCTAGCATTAATTAAAACAGACTATTATGGCCCTTTTACATGATCATAAGAATGGGGTTAAGATGAAAAATGTGGATGAAAAAAATTAGATGACTAGAAAGACTCTAGAAATAGAAAATTTGTATCTGCATCTGTGATGCAAGTGTTTTAGTGCTTTAGTGGATATACAGTAGCTAAAAACAACCCCAGGTATGATTTTTGGTAAGGAAACAATGTTATGACCAGCTGAACAAAACAAAAAATTTGGCACTATATGGGAAATTATTTATATTCACAAAGCGAGAGTGAGAAAAACTGTGTCTGTGTTTTGGGGAGAGTCTTGAAGAAAAAAACAAAAAACATTTTAGGAATTCTGTGTGTCAAGAGTCCCATCCAGATTCATAAAGCCACTATAATCTCAAAACTCATTAAAATACAGTTATGTGACATTTTATGAGCACTAAATGTCATGTTGCTTTGATCATAAATTGTGGTTGTGAAGTTAAATTTGAACATAAAACTTTAATATCTTTGGGTAGAACATGCAAGGGACAAGAGCTATAGGGTTATAGTTTATATCAGTGGTTCCCAAACTTGTTTTTCCTGCGTACTTTGCCAGCGTAGACAGGGGATATGTACCCCCTGTTGTTATAAGACGAAAAGAGTTTCATGGACCCCAGGGGTCAAACAGGTTTAGACGGAGACGCTGCAGAGAAGCTGCAATGACCAGGCTTCCTATAATAATCTGGTTTACATTACTTAGTTAAAACATAATGAAATGGTTGGGACAAATATAACATTTCAAGAGTTTTTGTATGAGAAATTCCTATTTCTACTAACAAAACGGAATTTATCATCTGTCTTATAGATGCTAAAGTTCACACCGACACAAAAGTTTAAATTCCATTTTCGTTCACCTTCTTTGTCTGTTTCTGCAAAAATTGCCGATCATTTCTCACTAGGGGCAATAAACCGTATCCCCGGGCCTCGAATATCCCACATTTTACAAACACTAGACAATAAATGTTCCTTTTATCATAGCTGAGCACTCCTATAACGGCCATTATCTAAAATAGGCTGATGTTTCGTGTCTCTTGCAGTGCAGTAAACAGGAGCTGTGTCCTGGAGCTGCCCCCAGGCTCCGAGCGCCAAACGGACCACATTACACCCAGAGGCACGGCCGCATCAACAAGCCCAGACAAACGTACAAAATAAATGTGATACTTTATATTACGGCGGCAATGAACAGTTTTATATGTGCTGTTGAGGTATGTCTTTGTCATTTCAATTATCTCCTGCCAACCTGCCTCTGCATTGCGGAATTGAGAGGAATAGAAAAAGACCATAGGGAGAATTTTGATCAATACTTTTTCTTCAAACAAACTTTTATTGACAGAATTCTTGATTCTCTCTGGTTATGATAGAAAGTAAATGGGCCAGGTGCTGTAGGAGTGCGCAATATGAATCAGAACAATAGCATCTGGATTTGTGTGTGTACAGCGTCCGGAGACCCATCTCCCGTTGTTGATGATCGGCTTGGTGTGGTTAGAGTTCATTTAGTGCATGTTTTCATCCATTTTCTTTAGTCAAATATTATTGCTGATTGTGCGGTTTTACAACTCAGAGGAAACAAAAAACGTTATGCCTAAACTAGAGCTACTTTCAAATCCGAGTATCTCAGCGTGTGAACAGTGACGATCATGTCTAATCATGTTAGATATTGTATTTCCTAAAACACTTTCATTGGTCTGAAGTGGAAATATTTGTACGGATTACCTCTTGGTCGAGTTGCAGCAGCTTCACAGTCACATTGGTCTGGGGCTCAGCGAGGGTCCCGCTGGGAAACACCCCCAAACGAGTGATGACCACCGGGTGCAGGACCTTAAAGTCCAGAGCCACGATGGACACGTCAGATGGGACCAGTGCGGAAACATCTGGCAACTTCACGATCTCGATGTCTGAAGACTGAACCGCAGCTGGGGAAAAACAAGAGCATTTTATATGAGCCCAAATGTCATTGAATTTCATTGTGCAACAATAACATGTGACCAGAGACCATGAAACATGCAGCTATTCTGAAGGGCAATGTTCAATGTTAAAACAATTTAACAGGGTTTCAGAAGGTATACCAGTTTTCCCCAACCTTTTCAAGCCGTTTCATTGAACAAAAACTCGTGGCACAACATCAGCTAAAACTGATTTCAATAATTCAATCTGCAACCTTTAACAACTCATTGAATGCCAGCCTATTTCAGAACAGGTACTCCCACAGTGCCAGCCATTTCTGATGATTTTTACTGATTTTTCAAGACCCACAGAATATTGTGTACTATGACTATCTGAAATCCAACACCAGATTCTAAAAGAATGGACTGTCTACTTTCCTCAGCAAAAAGAATTTTGTTTATAGCTTTTTTCGTTCCCCTGTAATCCTCCGTCGAGTAGAGGGAAGTTTTACTGAAATCACCAGAAATCACCAGAAAGTTGAGAAAAAAGAGGCACAACATGTGCACCTACATGTTTTCAAACCATTCAGAGAGCAATGCTGCCACCTGCTGGCTCGATAAAATATGGTCTCAAGTCATCCCCATACATATTAGATACAATAGACATCTGGGAACGTGAAAATAGCGAAAAAGGCAATTGACGGATTAATCCGTCAATGGCACACGACGTTACTATTTGCTTTGACGTATTTGTGCGTCAATGGGACACAATGAGTTAATAAGAAAGCAAAGTGTATTGTATAGAAAATCAAACAAGCGCAATCATTTTTTTCGAATCTTCTCACATCGTTTTGTGACTGGTTGTAGTCATGGCCTAGGCTGTTCGAAATCATTATTGTTGAAAAACACTTGCTGGACATAATGGTACAGTTCCTCAGTCAGAAATATGCTTTATTTTAAAAAGTGAACTTGCTGACGTTACCTTTAAGAGTTAAATGAGTATTAATTGAGGCAGTGTCCATCCTTACCACAATTTTAACACGTAAAACTGTTCAGCACTAACACATTTCAGACTTTTATCTACTGTTTTGGAACAATAGCTATAAATCTACTTTTACTGGATAATAGCAGAACAGTCTCTTTTTCCAGTTGAGCCATTATATGCCTAAAATTCACAAAAAATGAGCCAAAATAAATAAATCACTCCTGTGAAGTCTGTAATGCCTCGATGCAGGCTGTCGAGGCTACACGTTTTCTCCTTGAACTCTGCATCGGAGCATTACAAGGCCGTGCTTCATGTGTCATTGTGTTTTCAAACCTACAATGATCAGAACATCCAGAATGCGCCTAAGGCCATATGCCCCTGACCCCCCCAGGGCAACTTTGTAAACAAGAATGATTTTTTAATGATGTTTTGCAAGAGAAATAATTCTGTGCCAACATTTATTGTCAATGGAAAACCAAATATTCTTGATGAAGGCTTAGACTTTAAAGTATACATTATATTCAGGGCAACATATAAAATAGTGGATTTTTGACAATTCCATTATTCAGCATAAAGGATTACAGCTGAAGTACCTACCTCTGTTTCATAAATACATTGTGTTTGTCCCAACAGATACGGCCCTGTTTATACTGAGACGCTGCGCAGACGTTTCCAGGCTATTAACAGAAACGACCTGGCTCCTAATGCAAATTTCTCAGCGTTCACATGAGGTTGAAAAACGATGTAGTTCTAGCGCCCGGCCAGTAGTGGGCAGAGAAACTTTACAACACTCACACGACCCCCAGCCCCGTGCCCAGCCCCCCTCTCGGCAGTGTACTCACTTCCTGTGCCAGACCCTCAGAACGTACCAACATCTATCTGCATTTTAACAGCAGCTGTGAAAATGGGAACTGAACCTAGAGCTTCGCGTGGTCTCGTTTGGACGAACGAAGGAGTAGAATTATCCTCTGTCCCGCGCTGGAAGCCCACGTAGTTAGTTAGTGTGCGCAGCGCCATTTTTGTTTTTGTTTGTTCTCCGCTACTGCGCATGTCCAAATGTACGTGCGGGGAGCAGCGCGGAGGCGGGGGTCAGAGCAGAGGGGGATTTCACACCTATTCCCCTCTCGCGGGTGTGAAAAAGCTCCCTGCTGTGCAGCGTTTCTGAGTTGTCCCACTCTGCAGGCTGGATCTGAACTCGTACGTTTTCACCCCCCTGGAACACAGTCTCCGTATGAACGGTTGGTAGCAACCGACATCCAACTATACCGTTTTACTGCCACATTGTCTCCGTGTAAACTCAGCCAGTCTTGTTTAAGGTCACACCATGCTGTTTTTTATCTTACTAGACAACAGTTTAACATACAGAGTTCTGATTGGCCAAGAGAGGGCTGGTAATCTCTTTGTCATATCTTGAGATCCACTCCATCAGTGACAGAGGCCAAACATACATTCATGTGAAAACTAGTGATAACCAAATAGTTTTGAGAGCGAGAAACTAGTTACCTGGTGGAGCCAAATACAGCAGAGGGCGCTCTAGAGTACCTCTGCCTTTATGCTAAAAAAAGTGATAATCATGATACAGGTGTGGTGCTGAAGATATACCATATTTTACCATGCCATATGTTACAGATGCAATAGGTATTATTTTATGTCATTTTATTACTGTGTTCTTTGATATATTTTTCCCTGCAATGCAATTATTAAATGGATTGACATATCCAACTGGACACTTCAGAGTCATGTTTCCATTTTATTCTTAGTTATTTTTGGTTTCAAGTGGCACTCGTCATTTTCCAACGCCAAAGCCGTACAGGGAATTCATCGGTACATTGTTTGTGGTTTCACACTTTGGTATTGCAGCTTTAGATTTTACAGATACATTTTGTTTTTCACTGCAAGTTGACTCTTGACTGAAGCAGTATTTTGTGGAGTGAATAATTATCTGTAAACTGGATCTATCATTAAAGCAGCAGGTCATGCGTGCAACTTCTTAAATCACAAAGAAGCTGATTATTACCCGTGAGATCAATACAAAGATCAAGGCTGTTTTAAAAACGGCCCAAAACTTCATGTGCCTCCCACACAAGTTCTGTTGCTTCTTTCTAAGTTTAGATGTCACAGCAGAGAACACTTAACTTTATCTGAAATGAAATTGCTACACAACACACATTTACATGGTTACATGGTTCACATGAACCATGTAAAAAATAATACATATATATTATTCTAGACGGTGTAAAAAAGTAAATACTCAGATTAAGAGTCTTTCTCCTTGTCTCCCAGACTGCATATAAAACCAAACTGCAATTACAGCAATATTAACACAATCTCCTTGACTCGAGCCTTGTCTCATAAATCACAGTAGCAGAAATTTGGCCATCGCTTTTCTATGTATAAATCTGTCATGGCTTTTGGGATAGTAAGATTCATTGTACACTGAACAAAGAACAATCTAGTCCTTTTAATGTAGAATATGGCTGCTAACCAACGTGGAATTTTCTTTTCTTTAAGCAGAAATGAATTAACTCACAGGTTACATTTGAGTTTCAACAAACTATCATTTTAATCATAGTTTGAGAATCAAAATTCATTAAGTGAAAAATTATATATATATATATATATATATATATATATATATATATATATATATATATATATATATATATATATATATAAATAAAAAAAATTGTCCACTCACCTTTGGCCCTCCGCGGGCGGTTATCCCTCTCTAAGCTCGGGTCCTCTACCAGAGGCCTGGGAGCTTGAGGGTTCTGCGCAGTATCTTTGCTGTTCCTAGCACTGCACATTTCTGGACCGAGATGTCCGAGGTTGTTCCGGGGATCCTCTGTAACCACTCATCTAGCTTCGGGGTTACTGCCCCGAGTGCACCGATCACCACGGGCACTACTGTCACCTTTACCCTCCAGGCCCTCTCCAGCTCCTCTCTGAGACCTTGGTATTTCTCAAGCTTTTCATGTTCTTTTTTCCGGATGTTACCATCGCTTGGAATTGCCACGTCCACCACCACGGCTGTCCTCTGCCCTTTGTCTACCACCACGATGTCAGGTTGGTTTGCCATTACCATTCGGTCGGTCTGTATCTGGAAGTCCCACAGGATCTTCGCACGCTCATTCTCCACCACCTTTGGAGGAGTTTCCCACTTAGACCTTGGGGTTTCCAGCCCATACTCTCCACAGATGTTTCTGTACACTATGCCAGCCACTTGGTTATGGCGTTCCATGTAGGCCTTCCCTGCCAGCATCTTGCACCCTGCAGTTATGTGTTGGATCGTCTCAGGTGCCTCTTTGCACAACCGACACCTTGGGTCTTGTCTGGTGTGGTATATCTGGGCCTCTATCGCTCTGGTGCTCAGTGCCTGTTCCTGTGCAGCCATGATGAGTGCCTCTGTGCTGTCCTGTAGGCCAGCCCTTTCTAGCCATTGGTAGGACTTCTTGAGATCAGCCACTTCTGTTATGCTCCGATGGTACATGCCGTGTAGGGGCTTGTTCTCCCATGATGGGCTCTCCTCCAGCACCTCCTCATCTCGCCACTGCCTGAGACATTCACTGAGTACGTCATCCGTTTTGGCCTTCTCCATGATGTAGTTATGGAGTTTGGATGTTTCGTCCTGGACAGTGGCTCTCACACTCACTAGTCCTCGGCCTCCTTCTTTACGGCTTACGTACAGTCTCAGGGTGCTGGATTTGGGATGGAACCCGCCATGCATGGTAAGGAGCTTTCGAGTTTTAACATCCGTGGTCTGAATCTCTTCCTTTGGCCACCTGATTATTCCTGCAGGGTATCTGATCACTGGCAGGGCGTAGCTGTTAATTGCCCGGGCCTTGTTCTTGCCATTGAGCCGGCTTCTTAGGACCTGCCTTACTCGCTGGAGGTATTTGGCAGTTGCCGCTTTCCTCGTCACCTGTTCGAGGTTGCCATTTGCCTGTGGTATACCGAGATACTTGTAACTGTCCTCAACGTCTGCTATTGTTCCCTCTGGGAGTGAGATCCCTTCTGTGTGGACTACCTTGCCTCTCCGAGTCAC